ATAACAACAACAACAACATACAAACACAGGAAACATTTTTAATTTATTTCCCTTGTGATCCAAACAATCTATGGCCAAGCAATTTTTAATCCCCGACAAATTAAAATAATACATTGAGACAAAGATTAAACAAAAGAAAAATAAATCTATAAAAAGATGTATTCAAGCTTTTAATTATTGGAGAAATGAAACAGATAATCTCACAGGAATTCAGAAACACGTGCATGAAGGGCTCTTGTCTTTCGCTTTCTTTCACATTCTCGTCTAAAACTGACAACAACAATGGAATGTCCATCGGGATTTACAACAAGCTCTGCTAAATTTTATGGATCGTCTTGTTTTGACGTTTGATCCAAACACTTGTTAGTAGTACAGCGAAAAAAAACAACAACACACAAACGCACAAACGCACAAGCACACATGCACACAAACGCACAAGCACAAAACAAAGCATACAAACAGGCAAACCAAAAATGATAATGTTCTCCTTCCCAGCGCAATTCATAGTAAGTGGCTATGGTATCATCATCATCATCATCATAATCATCATCATCATCATCACCATCATCATCATCATCATCACCATCATCACCATCATCATCATCATCATCATCATCATCATCATCATCATCATCATCATCATCATCAGGGGAATGCAACACAATACCGTACTAACTGGTCCGACAAAAAATGCGACTTTTCCCATTTTCAAAACAAAACATGCATCCAGGTGTTTCAACGGATTCTTTATAACTCCTTTGGAGATGTTCACTTTGCATAATATGCTTTGATTTTTTTAAAGCCTCATAGTTACTTATGATAAAGAAAGACCGTAGACGCCAACTTTCTGTTTGTATTTTGTCCTAATAATCAATTAAAGAAAGTTAAAAGTTGTTTGTCCCAAAGGCTAAGATCACTCGCAGAATAAAGTTTTATTTTTTCCTGTCAATGCTGTATGTCCCCACCGATAAAACTTTGACAATTTAAAAAGTGGGTGGGTAGTTCAAAGAAAATCAATCAGGTATCAAGCCCAATCAGCTGTTCAGTGAGACGTCATTCGACACGGCAGTTTTAATTTTTCTTTTATTGTTGTTGTTGTTACTGTTGTTGCAGTTGTTGTTGTTTTTCAGAATTTCACCACGAAATTCACTGCCAGAGCTATAGGGACAGAAACTGGAAAGATACAACTGGATCTAATGCATTCAGATCTCGTGGCAGAAAAGGGGCGTTAATGCAAGGGAAGATATGATTGAAAAGTGTTCACGTGAGACCTTGAGGGACAGACGTCCTCGTCTCTGAGCGCTAGAGTGGGGGGTTTGACAACCTTAAGATATTGCCTCATTCCTACTGGACACATGTTCTATTTGATAGCATGTCTTCTGAAACGACATCATAAAAAGGGGGAAATGACTGGTTTGAAGTGCTGTGCTTAATACTGCGAACAGGAGATAAGCATGTTTCAATGCGTGCATTATATCATTATGAGC